GTGAAGAGCATGCTGCTAATTTACAAAAGGATTTAGATCATTTAGTTGGGCAAATAAATGGGAGATGGGTTTTAATTATAATAAATGCAAAATATTGCATGTGGGTTATCATAATTTGAATTATAAGTATAATCTGGATGGGAATAATCTTAATAGTGTTATGAAGGAAAGGGATATTGATGTAATAGTTGATCATTCTCTAAAATCATACAAGCAGTGTGCTGTTGCTAGTGGTAGGGCAAGTAGGATATTAGGTTGTATCTATAGAAATATTGAATACAAGTCTAAAGAGGTTATACTTTCATTGTACAGGTCATTGGTTAGGCCACATTTAGAATATTGTGTTCAGTCTTGGGCTCCTTACCTTAGGAAGGGCATTGAATTGTTGGAAAGGGTTCAGAGAAGGGTTACTAGAATGGTGCCTGGGATGGTGGGGTTGTCATACAATGAGAGGCTGATGTATCATCTTTTTATATTTACCAGTAGGAATAGGGAACACAAATATAAATTTTGGCAAGGTATGAATCATTTTCAGCTAAGACAGTTTTATTTATTTTTCTAACAGGGTGGTTGGCCTTTGGAATGGGTTGACTTCAGATGTTGTAGAGGCAGTAAATTTAAGTGAGTTTAAGAAAAAACTTGATAAGTATATGAATGAAAAGGGCTGGGTTTAAAATTTTGGTAGTTTATTTTTATTAATCATTTTAATTTAGTTTTGAGGATGGAATAGCCAAACTAGACCAATAGGTCTTATGTTGCCCCAAAATATTATGTTATGTTATATGAGGCTTCCACCAAAATATTTTTAAGATGGATAGATTATTTGGACTTGTTGAAGTCATAAAAGTGAATAGAAGTATCAGAAAAACATGTAATTTGTTGCAAAACAGTCACATTTCTAAACTATTCCTAGTGCCATTCCATAAATATAAATAATTTTAAGTGTTAAGAAAGAACAGCTGTAAACTCTACTCTCTTGAATATCCTTTTTTTCAAACTTTCTACAATAGTTTACATTTTCAAGTATTATAGAAAGTATGTGCTTGTAACAATCATAGATTTAGAATATGGACCACATAATTTTTTTTTAGGTTTGAAAGAGGTGATGGAAAACTATGTAAAAATAATTCATTTATCAGCTAAACTTCAATTGTCATAAAAAATATTTACATATCAATTGTTTCATTTAAGTATAGACATACATAAACAACATGTACTTAATTTAGTTTACATCATAACAATTGTTTCGTGTAAGTGTAGACATACATAAACAACATTTACTTAACCTAGTTCACACCACAACAATTGTTTCGTGTAAGTGTAGACATACATAAACAACATTTGTGAACTAGGTTAAGTACCACAACAATTGTTTCATGTAAGTGTAGACATACATAAACAACATGTACTTAATTTAGTTCACATCATAACAGTTGTTTCATGTAAGTGTAGACATACATAAACAACATGTACTTCACCTAGTTCACACCATAACAATTGTTGTTCATGCAACTGATGATACAAATAATGCCATTATGATTTCTGTTGTGCCCCAGCTGGCCCGATGAGACTTGGTATTGGATGAAAAATCCTGTCAGCATTGGATAGGGCAGGTTTAGTGTGTTTGATATATTCTTTTTTGCTTTCACTTATAAGTTCTTAGAGTATAGTTTAATATTGCAATTGTATAAAATGTAGTAATCCTAATTTGAACTTGGAAACTGTTTGTGTTAAGTATTTTTTTGAGTAGCTGTAAAAAATTAATTTCAACAGTACTATTATTTTCTGTGACAGTATTAATGTCCAAACTGATGTGTTGTGACCATACATGACTTACAGTTATTTTCAGCATCTACATGAAAACCTTGTAACATTTTAGTGTTATGTAATTTTTTGCTTAAATATATCATCTTAAATCCACTGAAGTGTTTATATTTCTTTTATTTAAAAATTATGGTATTGATTAGGGTGTGATTCAACTAGAGAAGAAATTAGGAGGAAAACTGATTGATAACCCAAAATCAATGCCATTTCAAGATGGAGGCTCGAATCTGTGTTTATGTTTAGAGGATATTGGGCCAGGGTGGCGTTGCAAGCCTGGAGCCAACTACCAGGTGAGAAGTAGTTTAAGTAGGTGTAGAATATTAAACTTTTGTCTAAATTTTTATTTGATACACTGAGAAACAGTTTTTGGAAATATGAATCGTTTTATTGGAAACAATTATTTTTTTTATGACAAAATACAAAAGAATAGATTTTGCAATAACGTATGCTGTTTAATATGAGAAAACCTGTAGAGATATGCCTCCAAAAACAATTTTCAAGTATGATCTTCCCGACTGATGACTTTGCAAGTTTTAGAATAAATTCATCTTTGAGCTTATCTGACTAACCAGTAGCCTCAGGTTTTTGCTAGTACACTTTTTCAAAAAGAAATTATGTTCAATAATAACCTTATTTGACTTCTTAAGTATTTTTGGCAACCACAGCATTATTTAATTGATGAATTAGGCAGTGTATTCATGATGAAACAAAGGTAAAAATGGGTGCCAACTTCCTTACATAGATAGCAGAGCTTTACTGAAAAATTTCAACAGAATTTCAGAATTCTTCTGTCTTAGGGCTTAAATTACAGTATTGGAAAAAAATATTTGAAACATATAGATGGTATAGAAGTGAAAAATAATGAGTAATTGCAAATATGTGGTCAATCCATTATAACAGAAAATATAAAAGAAAAGCAAACAAACTGTACAACTCTCTAGTATTTTGTATTTGCTTTAAACAGATCAGTACACCTTGGTTTTTATGATACCTTAAGTTTACCAATGTACGATTGTGAAATACTGTTCCAGGTGTACTGTATTACTCTCTATAGTTCAGCCAAGTTGTTTCGTTACCATGTAACTTCCTCAGTCTTCAGTAGGTTTGCCCTCCCTCCCCAATGGCCCAGCAATAAGTCAGATTACCTATAACTGTGAAAACAGGGTTTTGATACCTGTGGTGGGAACAGCAAATATAGTCCATTATGCAGCTTTGCGCTTAACAACAAAGAAACCCATTATGTTATAATTTCTACAAAAAGAGCTGCTAAAAATCTACAATAACAATTACAAGTAATAATAAATAGTCTTATTATAACTAACAGGCAAATAATAAAACACTTCTATGACCACTCTGCCTTAAGTCATCAAGTGAGTACACACTCACATGTAAGCCTTTATGATATAGATGTAAAGACATTGTGCAAACCAACCATGGCTATGAGTGTTTGTTTGACCCCCCTTTTTGGTTTTTGATTCTATATATCCTTTCATCACAAATGCTACATGCTTTGGATCATTGTCTTCCTCGAAGATGATTCTACCAAACAGGAATGACATTATGGATGAGAATTTGCCCGTATTTAAGAGCAGTGAGATGCAGCCTACACTTTATATTTGTCGTCCAGCATGCTTCACTATAGACTGTGATACCATGAGTGCAATCAATATACTATTGTTGGGATTAATGTATTTGTCTGTACTTTTATAGCCATTATGCTGGTGTGGTACTGTCTGACTGGTTGGATGACAGCCACTCATGGCGTAAACTATCAATGCATGATTGTATTCTGGTGAATTTTATTTGTATACAATATTGGGGGAACATTTCCATAATTTTTGCATTTTTTTGTACATTTTATTCACTGTTTCCAATATTGTATCGTACATGTATGTGACCACTTTGTTCCTACTTGTGTACTTTTTCATGTTTTCTTACAAATAGGGCATTTGAAATGCACTAAAAACTAATGGAATAACAATTTTTGAAATGTCAGGTATAATTTTCTAGTCTTAATCAACGTTTATTTTTGGTGTATGTGTGTGTGTGTATATATATTTATTTATTTATTTATTATAGGTATGTGTGTATGAATGAGTGAGAGGGAGAGAGTCTTTAACTAAGGTATTTGAAGAGCTAAGTTTCACTTAACAGAGTTATTCCCTACTAAATTCTCTTTCTATGTCCAGGAAATACCATTCCAACACGTTTGGAGTACAACACAAAACCATCTTCACTGTTCTTTCACTCTTGAACATGTTGACCGCTCCCTACAGACTATTCGCTTTCACGTCCTTGTATATCAACGAGGGATTCAAGCCCATCGGCAGATTCTTCGCATCAACACTGACCTACGAGAGGTGCAATTTTTCATTTCTTATCTTCATTGATTTGTCAACTGTTGGTAATTTTATAATGAATGTCAAACATTTTAAGTAGTTTTTATATTAGAACGACTTTTGCATAGTGTTTTAACATATTCACGTATTTCTAAACCATGTGCTAATATAGATGGAAATAAAAAGTTGAAGATTAAATTGCTCCTTTGAAACATCATGGAATTGTTTTTTGTTTTTTTTGTTAATTCACACATTTCTCTGAGCTGATGCTAATATTAGATGTAAAATACTGTAACGAATAAGTCTTAGGTGATCATTTACAGATGAATACCCAGACCAACGTCTAATATTTATTAGTTATGTGCAAAATACAGTTTGTGTGCATATGCAATTAAACAGAGTTATGTTTACTCAGAAACCACCACCAAGCCCAGCAGTGAACCTATCTGTTCCTTTGGGATCAACCATAACTTCAGGAATGGGAAACAGCTGTGTAGTGACAATTGATCCTCCAGCAGAGGGGTTCAGGTGAGTTTATTGAAATTAGCAACAGTGTCCAAAGACTATTGTTTTAATTGACATATGTAAGTGTGATGACATTAGGAACAGGCTCCACAGACTTTTTTCCAATTATGTGAATAGTGTGGCAAATTTAGCAACAGCTTCCAGAAAGTGTTATTTCAATTAACTTGTATATATATTATTAGTAACAGCCTACAGAGAGTGCTGTTATAATTAAGATATGTAACATGTCTTGACATTACCAACAATTTCTTGAGAGTGTTGTTCTAATTAACATGCATATACACTAATAACATCTAATTGTTTTAAGTGATACATTGAGTAATAGTTCTGAGGGTTGAGTTATCATTTAAAAATTGGCTTGCCAGAAATAACTGATGTTTCAGCTGTGTGTTTAGGCTTAAAAGGCTTTGACAAATCATCAGATATGGGTCGTTGTAGTAGTTCATTAGTGTTTTTTTATATTTAAGATGCATGCTAGTTGCAAAAGCTACACTAATAATGCTTTTTGCAAATTCATGAACTCTCCCTGTATAAACAGTGAGTAAACCTTGAAGCAAATTGAAAGATTTCACATTATCTTAATCCATCTCATGTACATAATCTGTTTTTTAGGCTGTCTTCAGAAGTACGTAAGCAACTTTGTGCCTATCTTGATCCTCCAACAACTAAGGGAAATGATTGGCGAAGACTTGCCCAAGAACTGGGTGTAGATAGGTAAAGTGGTTTTACGTATAACCTTGAAATATGTTGTTAAGTTAACATGTCCAAAAAATTCAATAAAACAACACATGGATGAAATTCTTCAAAGTGGGAAAAACATTTAGCAAATTTTATTTCCAGTGAATGGAACTGGAATATTGCAAAAAAGCTAGCAGTGTAGTTTATTAATCATGTAATTGTTTCATTTTTTTACAATTAAGGTGTGGCATCCATCGGAGATTATTTCCTTTTGCTTTACCTATAAATGTACTTATTTAGTGATATTTTCCCTTCTCATGACAAAATAGAAAAAAAATGATTTTTTTTTTTTGTGTACATGAACTCCCTCAACAGCACAACATGTTAGTTGATGACCCATTTTACAGGAAGGAACTTCTGTGTTTGACAAATAATGAATATATCTAAGATTTAAAGATTGCAACAGTGATTTAGGGACTTCTTCACCTAATGAATATCGAGTCTATCTTGGGTTGTAAATATTACTGTGACTTACAGTATATTTGAGTCATCATTTCTTATCTCAACTTTCTAAAAATCAGACTTTAAATGGACAATTTGCCCAAAATTCTAACCCAATTTATCTCCCCACCTCCAAATCTTTCAAAAATTTCAAGCATTTATGTGTAAAATCATTATTCCTGTCTTTGAATTATTATAAAAGCCCTTTCCTGTACTCTCACTTTTAAACTGAACAAAATACTTAACATGACTTAAGAGTTTTATTCAAGCAGCTAAATACAGAGGGTACTAAATTTGTGAAGGCAACTGAGAATACAATCCTGCTGGTAGTTATTGGAAAGCTGACATTTCAGTTTCCAAATCGACATTGGGTTATTCTGGAAGAAATGCATCTGGGAACTGCAGTTTATACATAATGCTGCTCAAGTGTAGATTGCTTCTAGATTTTGAAAAGCAAGTTAGAAAGTAAATATTGAAATTTTTCAAACTACGAGTGTAATTCAACATAACTTTCTGTGCTCAAGATTTTATCTAATTGTTGAATATGTCTCTATTAAGCTTAAAAATATCTTTACAATAATACTGAAAACACATCAAAATGTATTACTAGGAAATATACATAAACAGAAATTTTATAGTAAGGAAAATGAGTAGTTGCATTGTATTTAATTAATAAAACTATATTTCAATACAATAAATGGTGGGCTAAAATATACCTAAAGAGAATGAAAGATCTGAGTTTGTTTGTTAGAATTAGTCAAACATAAGATTATTTTTGATACTAACTCCATCTATTTCTCTATTTTTAGGTACATCAATTACTTTGCAACTAAAACAAGCCCAACTGAGCACATTCTTGATCTTTGGGAAGCAAGACACAGAGAGGCTACAGCTTTAACTGATCTGATGAATTTCTTTCGAGTCATGGATCGTAATGATGCTGCTCTTGTTATAGAAAGGGATGCAGGACCTTGGCTCTGAATCATTTAAGTTATTGAGACTGTAAAATGTATATGTGCCACATCAGTGTACAAGAGCTGTAACAGATCTTGGACTTTGTTGTACAAGCGCTGTAATAGATCTTGGACTTTGTTGTACATGGGCTGTAATAGATTGTAGACTTTGATATTCCTCTCTGTTGCAAGAATATGGTACGCAAGTATGACTCATTGTTGATGGACTTGCAACAGGAAGAAGTAATGTACATATTGAAAGAAAGAAGACGTCTAGGATACTAGTGTACACCAGATACACAATTGATGCTGTCAAATTAGCTGAGGAACAAAAGATGTTCATGAGTAATAGTAGTTTGAAGTGAACATTTATGTATGAAGATTATATAGGAATTATCTGACTTTCCTTACGAAAACTAAGTGACTTCTTTGTTGTAAGTGGGTATAAGCCATTCTATGCAGCCTTGTCCTTGTGCCAATAAACGTAGTATTTTTAGTAATTCTAGAACATAAAGTTCCTCTTCTTAGAGCTTTGTGGACCAGAGATTATCTCAAGAGAAGTTTTTAACTTAAAAATGTACTATCCTTACTCGTAATTTTTTTTTATTCATACATTGTTTTCTGCACAAATTTAGCCCATGCAGAGTGTTACTCAATTTTTCTAAATATTTTAAAACTTTCATAAATAACAACAGTCAACAAGTATTTTTAGCTGAAACTTTTTCCATATTGATAGTGAACACTTTTGATGTATTTGTGCTGCAACTTTTTCTTATTCTGTTTAGTTCATTAAGTGAAGAAATACAAATATAGACTTGGTACATTGCTTTTATATACGAAGGTGTGTAATAACCAGTTTAGTCTGTCAGAATTAGCTTAATTTCTTTCTATTTTTGATATTTCTTAAAAGAGAGAAAGAGATTTACATTTTTAATCTCTCCATTACATCGTCTCCCTTTCTTTGTTGTGCAATCGTCTCTGTTAAAAATGAAGTAGGAAATGTTGAAAGATGGGGCAGTTTTCTTCTTAATTCCTTCACTATATAAGAAAGCCAACTTGTTTTTGTGTACATGATTGTACAGCGCTTGTTTGTTTGTATTGAAATAAAGAGAGTTGATAACGAAAATATGTTCTATTTGTAAGACTGAAAAGAAAAACTATGTTGATAAAAATATTTCAAACAAAATGTTTAAAGTTTTTGCATTCAATGCAGTTGCGCATGTATTAAAGCACCTACAAGTTTAATGAATGTAAAAATGAGTGGTTAGATAAACATATTTACACTTTTCAACTTTCCAAAACCAGTTCTCATTTGAAACCTCTAACTAAAAGAGAAACTTGTTTTAAACTAAAAAATAATCTAGAATAGAAAGTAATGATGCAATTAGTCGAGACTATTATTTATATAAAACAGAATATATATAAAACAACTGAAAAACTAAACCATACATATTAGATATTTTATCATCTCCAATGGCAATTACTTTTATATATATATCTTAAAAGATAGTGATGGTGAATGAACATCAATCTCACAAGCAGTGAAATCTAGATGAATTTCGCCATATTTGAATATGACTTACTTAGGTGTATCCATAATCGTGTGTTACACATTTAATATTTCTTCCAGATGCTATCAAATCAGTAAATAGTTTTATACTTCTGCTTCTTTGGTGATAATTTGATTTCTCTTTACAGAGTTTCTAATAAGAGGATTCATTCCTCCTCTTTCCTCATAAAATCATTGCAAAATATGGCTGGTTCAGAGCGACTTCAAAATATTATTAAAGTTGTCAAAAGCAACCCAACCCCAGTTTCTGCCACTGGATTAAAGGCACAATTATCAGAAATGGATCAATCCACAGTTTATCCTCTAGAAGAATTTTGCCCACTGTGGCACAATAAAGTACTATGTTTTATAAATAACAGCGATTGTTTTAGTTTAATGTAGTAAGGTTTTATAAAATTATCATCCCAACAGGTCTCTTGTAAACAAATGCCACAATTCGGTAAACCCTACTCAAATTTTGAGGAATTATATAAACATTTAAAATAGGAAGTATATAACAGAAAAATAAAATAAATCACAAATGCAATGGGATATTTACTGTGATCACCAAATGTATCAAAACCCGATTTTTGAACACTGTAAGTCGAGAGACTTACCAAGGGTCACTGTGGGGGCAAATGTGGAGTAGGTAGAACATGATTAAACAGTATGTTCTATCTTCTTAAGTTAACCTTGGATTTTCTGCCATATGACAAATTTATATGTTTCCGAGTTGTCTGTTTCAGATCATGTGTCGCGTTTGTTAGTTTGTTCACTACGCTACTGACAGGATCACAAGCTTCTAAAACGTTACACAAACGTCTAAAACGTTATACAAACGTCTAGGCTGTCTCCCAAAACAGAAATCGTTAAGTTGTAGTTTAAAAGGTAGCACCAGGCTCTGTTTCGAGCATCGGATCGGCAATCACGGTGATGGCTGAATTGACTGTTCTGCTTAATTTTTCCCAATTTTTCTCAACTAGAAGTATGATCCTCCCTGTCTCTGCTGCTTCAACTGACCGATTGCTTGACACCTGTTTACCTTCATTCCTCTCTTGATGCATGATTCAAGATCCTTGAGTTTATGTGAATGTCTAGAACTAATGTGTTTCTTTAGATTAAAGAGTGAGTTCTAAACGGCACTGTAAATTTTCTTTTAGGGCAAACACAACTTAAACTGCAACAAAACACTTTGGAATTAGGATTCACTTTCACTTTCAACAAATTCAAAATAGTCTTTTATATATGGCTGCTTTCCCGATTACACTCACTGTTAAAAGCTTCTGTAATAGAAACGTCGTTTTTTACTAGATTCCATTTTATGACATTAGCTAATGTACATGGCGACGCAACCTAGCGCTAAATGTTGCTTTGGCGGAAATAAGGAGAAATGACGTCTGGTTGCAGTAGAGAAAAAATTCAATCCTGGCGCAACAAGTCCACGGCAGCAACTTCCTTACGTAACACGTTTGATTGTTTTTTTGTAAGCAACATGCAGTTTAAATATATTCATATACAATATATTATACAAAATGCAACATATGAAATTATATAATACTTTTCTATCTTATAATAAATATATAATTATAATAATATATATATAATAGTATAAATATATATTACTCATTATTTTATTAATAGTAATATATATATAAATCACGTTTGAAATAATATATATATCTGGGATTTGCTTAACTAATTATCCAACATTAAATATAAACTAGCTGGTTCATACGAATAACTTGTTTTATCCATTGAATCGTGTTAACCAAGATAAGTTTCTGTTAGAACTGTCCAGCTCAAGAATTTAATAAAACATTTGACAGTACTTCTAAAGTAAATGTTTATATAAAAATTAATTAATAAACCTTCTAAATTAATGTAAGATTAAACTGAACGTATAAAGAGTAAATATTAAATTTAACAATATTATAAACAAAAACAAATACTAAGAACGCTTTATATATATTACGTAGCATTACGTCACGAATAGCCAACAAGCCATCGCTGCAGATCCACTTAGTCACTTCTAGAAACATAGCAGCGAGTGCTATCTAGCACGCGCTACGCACAGCTCTGTGGACCACATATTTCTTTTCATCTAAAACAGATATGAAGCTGCTGTTATTAGTGTGATTAGCTTTGTTCAGAAACATAAGTGTAGTGTTTTTTGTTGTTGTTTTTTTATGAGAGGTTTAGGCAGAGCATTCGTGTTGAAGTAAACACAGCACGGATTCCGCGATCTTCTAACAAAGTATAAAAATCCTCTCACTACCTACATCAATCAGACCTGACCTGAAGATCTTTCAAAATGTCACCACATTTTCTAACAGAATCAGTTGTTGCACAGTTTACCTTCATTTATTTCAAAAAGAATATTTGGAATAATTGTGGCAATGTCCCAGATCTGGCCAAATGTTTTGTCCTGTGTATAGATTAATGGCAGTGTTACTTCATTCTTCTGACTTGGCTGGAATCATTACAGTAGTTCTTTGTAATGTAATTAAAAAGAATAAAAAATATGTAACTTCTGTTAAACCAAGTGTACCTATTGATTCATATCATTTGTTCGCTTCTGTCTTGTTCATAGTGACCCTAGAATTCAACTTGTTTTCCCGAAAGGGGACCGAATGCCGCCTGGTGGAGTCGTCTATTTTAACCACTCACACCACTCAGTAGTATGTTGTCTGTCAACCAGTCAGTATACACTAAAATGACGTCACGTAAGGGACGCTTAACATTCCCATTTGTACTGTTGTAACGGCTGTAAAACGTGCGCGTACCATGAATCACGAGAAGAATTATGCACTTTGTAGACTACAACACAGCATGACATATGAATTTCAAAAGCAATAATTGTTACTCTAAACTTTGGTTTTATTTACTCTTGAAACAGAACATTTTCTGGGACCCTGCAGAAGTATATCGTTATATTTATATTTTATCTGAAAGTGAAAATGAAGAAAGGCATAACTTTTTAAAACCTAATATAAAGTTATATCGATATGTAACTTATCCAATGCAATACTGTGTGTGAAAATATAGTCCTAACGTTCGTGTGTGTCTAATATAAATGTACAGCAGTGTGATTGACTTGTGTATGTGAATACTGATTTATTAGCGTTAAATAGTGCTTATGTAGCACAAAAATGAGATTAGCATTTTAATCTTTACGAGTACAGTTGATGTTACAGTTGCGTGTATTTTAATACCACGCTACAGTAACATATTTGCAAAACAGAATTTGTGATTTTACTATAACGAAAACAAATTATTAGAAAAAGCAGTTGGACTTTTTATTACGTCTTATAATATGCTCCCCGAGTCGCGTGATTTCGTCGGTTCTTGCATGTTCATACATGGTCAACAATTAATTTAAATTTGTTATTGCTTAATACAGTGCTAATTAATACAAAACTAGACTTAAAATTCTAGGTTTAATGTGTAACACTTGAGTTGTTTATGTGAAATTAAAAAATGAATATATAAGTTAAGCGCTAGTTTTCAATTATGAGATTAATACTCATTAGTAATTTTTGCGTCGTTTAATGATAAAAACGAAAACATTAGTGAGGTAAAGAAAAGATTAAGGTAAATTTCATCTAATTATTTTTCCTAAAGATTTTTATAGTTACACGTTTCGAAATACATTTCTACAACTATAAGGAAAATATTCCAAGAACATTAACATTTTATCACCAGCTTAAACGTGACCCTATTTACAAATGCATCTTAGCAACCACACGAAAATTAATGGAGGAATATGAGAGTGATGAGTTGGAAGCTGTCAATTAATGGAGGAATATGAGAGTGATGAGTTGGAAGCTGTCAATTAATGGAGGAATATGAGAGTGATGAGTTGGAAGCTGTCCAAGTTGCTATGAATGAAAAAGTATTTATTGATTCGTAGAAAATTGGATTAGTGAAAACATTTAACAAAGGTTAAACATGTTTTTTGTTAAGTGTTTCTAGTATGGACTAAAATTTTGTAAACTTTAGGCCTGAAGCCACTGGCTTGGAATGATATATGGCTCGTAAACCCAAGCCACGGATTTGATGATCGCTGTCTGCCCAAAATCAACTCCGTTTTTGAACTGACATAAAACGAAACAAAAGTTGTGTGCCTATGAAAGACATTAAGTTCCTAAATACGTAAAAAGGCATGCATAACAGTAAAACTAAATAGGAAACACTAATTAAACAACTACAAACAAAATGAATGCATACAAAGGTTCCTCCCTATACTTATTTCAAAGGAATAATATCACCTTTCAAGTAATATGGGAAGGTTCTTTATAACTAACGGTTTCTATTTATTGTTTATGTTTACATTTGAAAATGTCTTTCTTAGAAATTAAACGTTGTACGATATCATGTTCATGAATTTATTTTCAGCTACACATTTGAAAGTTGACGATCACCAGCAGGAAAGTTTTGGTTAACAAAATACTCCATATGTATGTCAATATGCATGTAATCTGTTACCACATCAATATCGAATGTGTTTACTACAATAAACATACCTTGGAATGGTCAGAACATACAACATCTATAAGTAATCTATCATAAAGTTGAAGATAAAACTAGGTATCA